GCCAACAAGATTCATACAAATAGTTTTCTTTTTTAACACAAATATGTTTTAATATAAAAAATAACAATACAATTTACAATAACAGTTATTACACACACTGATTTATATACAAACTTACAAGCAATATAAACTCTTCTTTCTAGTCTGGAACTTCCTTGATATCTTATCGAGGGTTCTCGATGAGTGATTTAATAAGAGTTGATGTAGGTACAAATCGCTTAACGGGTAGCTAGCTAGCTTTGTCCTTCGTTACTCACCAGGCACACATGCTGAGTTTTCCACCATTGAAGTTAGGTAATGTTTTCGTAAAAGTACTCGTGTCTGATGAGAATCCACTGAAGTTAAATGATTTGTAATATTCGAATTTTGTAAATGCTTCTGGTTAAATATCTGAAGTTTTTCAATTGATAAGCATTTTAACAATTACAGTTATAGCTTCCAAAGGTTATAGCACACCAACTATAGTGAACTAATAATAGATACTCTTTTTTTTGGTGCATCACGTTAGTTATATTTACAGGCATGTGGAGAGTTTCTAGAAAATTGAGATTACGTAACAATACAAAGCTACATTAAGCATTTACCAAATGTATATACATATATTGTTGATTCTTATGCTCGAGAATCTTCTACAACTTTAGAGAATAGGCAGGAGTTTTGCAATACATATTTAACACTATATAAGCCATGCATGTTTCTAAATATAAACTTAATTTAAACAAATGTTGATATTAAAATAAATATATAATAATAAATCCATCACAAATATCACTACATTTAACAATACTTGATTTGCTCTATCATGTGTTTGTAACCAATCAAAAGCTCAGAATGTCCCCCACATGGTTTTCTCAGCCTCTTGAAGGTGGGAATTTCTCAAGATTATTTCTTGTGTCTCAAATCTTGGGATGAAGGGGTAAGTGAAAATGTTCTTCAAAAACTTTTTTTTAGACCCATATGCACTTTAGCTGGTAAGCCTGATAAATGATAGTGAAATTCAGAGATATTGATAGAGTAATTTATAATTTTTAGTTTTTTCAAAATGCTTATAAAAACCTAAAAAGTTTTGTTTAATAC